ACGACAAAGTTGCCATTATCAGTTTGGCACAGAAGACTTGGGCATCAGGGAGTACAATATGTGAAACAGTACTTGCGCCAAAATGGTATAGACTTCACTGATGATGGACTCTTTTGTGAACCTTGCAGGTATGGTAAACAGTGCCGACGGACTTTCAAATCAAAACGATTTAAAACGAAGGAGTCAGGTGAAATCATACATGCAGATTTACTCGAATCACCAATTTTGTCAAGAGGTGGAAAGAAGTACATGCTAGTGATCAAAGATGCAAGTTTGTTCAAGATGAGTTTGCTAAAGAATATTTTGAACTAGGCTACGTCAGAAGTGATGAGCAGCGAGCAGACATTCTGACGAAGGCACTTCCAGCACCTCAGTTTCATGCCCAAAAGATATTACTCGGTGTGACTGCAGTTCTTTGAGTGACAATATTGACTACTGACTGTTTTCATGCTCGAAGGAGGCTGGTAGCAGAGCGTGGTTTGCGAAGTATTATTAAAAAATTTATTAATAATCAGCAAAAATGATACTATTTCACGTAATTTGGATGATTCTTTATTATTATTTTCCGAATTATATAGATACAGAAATATATACTATTCTATAAAGAAGAAGAATATTCTATAAATATTACAGTTCTGTAAATTCTGAATTCACTTTATTTATTGGAATGACGAAAGCAATGTTGACTTTACATTAATTTGTTATGAATTGAAGACAGAAAAAAGTATTTTACCGTAATACACTCATCTGTAACAGCAAGTGATCATGAAATTGGAAATTATATTGTTGGTAATAGAAAGGTAAAACCTATTGTGAAATTATTCTTCAAATGCTTGGCGTGTTCTGCTTCAATGTTTGGCATGTTTTGGTTAGTTTTTTCAAGAAGTTCTACCTTTTCCTTAGGGGAATTATGGTTCTTATTTGCTGCTAAGAAAATGGCATCCGTCATTGCCAATGGTTATGTGGGAACTAATCCCCAAAATTTTCAGTCTCCCGCTAGAGAGCGTAGAGCGTTGCGATCGCGAATTGCGAAAACTGTTTACTAAAAATAAAGGTAAAAGCAAATTTTATTCAAATTGCACGTTTTTAATAATTATTCGTATTTAGTATGCAATTTTAGGTTAGCACAATTAAATATAATTTTTGAAGGTTTCATTGCTGACAGTTGTCATTTGAAAACTATTAGATTGTTTATTATTACAAAGTTTGCGAATTCACATTAATTTTATTTCGTTGATTTAAAAAATAGATTTTTTTTTAAATTTTATCATTATTATATTTCTTATTTAATTTATTTCATTTTATTGCTTTTTTTATTATTTAAAATAAATATGTGAATTTTCGATTTAGCAAATTTGCGACCACTGTCAACTTTTACATTTCTTTTTGTTTGAAAGAGAATATTTGCAAAAATATGCCGCCTAAACGAATCGCTCTCAGTTGATCAACATCTCAAGCACGCGAAAAAGGAACTACCCGTGTTTCAGAAGCATCGGAGCAACGGAAAAAAGGCTTGAAACTAACCGAGAGCACAATGCTTTAGCCCGTTCCTCAGAAACGTCTGAGCAGCAGGAAAGAAGACTGTTAACAAATCAACTACGCACTACCCAAGCCCGTTTTTTGGAAGCATCAGAGCAACGGGAAAGAAGACTGTTAACAAATCAACTACGCACTACTCAAGCCCGTTCGTCGAAAACATCAGAGCAACGGTATGCAAGAATGAAAATCAATCAAGAACGCACTTCGCTATTCAGACGCTGCCAATATTCTGATTTGAATCTCAATGCATTTCACTATGATCAGACAACTAACTATACTCTTTCACCCAAGCGTCATCATCGGAAAAAAGGATCAATTGTGTATGTTTTGTAGTGCTCTCAAATTTAAGAATGAAACAGCTGGAATTTGCTGTTCTGGAGGCAAAGTGAAACTACCAGATTTATCGTCGCCAGCTGAGCCATTATCAACGTTGTTATCGGGTCAAGCAAATCAATAGAAACTTTTCTTGGTGAATACATTCAGTTTGGTCAGTACATTCGTGTTTCCAAATGACTTCATTCGGTGCTTCAAGTATCGGTGTGCATATGGGCTACCAGAGTTATTTATTACATTCACATGCAATCTGGCTTGAGCTAAAATTAAAGAGCTTTAGAAACTTAGGCAAACGTCATCGGATCTTCATGATGCATTACCGCACGTGAATTGAAACAAATATTAAGCTCTATACTTGGTTTTATTGCGAAAAGTCATGTTTTTGGAGGGACACGGTGTTTGATGTATTCTATTGCATGGCAGAAAAAGAGAATTGCCACATGATTTGGTTCATTGAAAAAATCACACCATGACAAATTCGTTAGCTCATATCAGCAGAAATATTCATGCCACCATTGATCCAGACTTTTTTCAGATCATCATCCAAAATATGTTTCATGGTCGGTGTGCATCACCATACATGTCTGTTTGAAAATGCACTAACGATATCCTAGAGAATTAACTGTTGAGACTATCACTGGCTTTTTCACCATTAAATAAAATTCTCATTTCAAATCATAATCACAAATCTCATTTACACACTTAAATACAAAATTTAAATTCAAACTGAAAGCGTTGCAACGCACACGAGGTACAGCTAGTTAGAAATAAAACTCTATGCTGTCATTTTTTTTTTCATACCCCGGCAGCAACTAATTTACAGGAGGGCACTCGAGGTTGGGGCCCAACACCAAATTACATAATAAAAAGAAATATTTTTTTATTTTTTCCAAGCAGTTTGGCCCTTAATTTAATGATAGGGCACCCACATTTTTATTTCACTTTTTCGTATTATGATGCCAACTTTCATGTCAGTATTTTCAAAATGTGAAATACATTTAATGTAAGCTATTTTCATTTCATAAAATTATTATTTCCTCAAGCAAACTTGATGAGCAGTGTTTTTTAATGTAAATAATAAATCCTACAAATTATTTTTTAGAATTCCATGGATGCTTTGCTAGATACTAGAGTACGAATATCTTGCATCCTACATATTTTTCATCGTTCTCACCAGCAACTCTTACTCAAGCAATTAAATTTTAGTATTTATTTTCATGGTTCAGCTAAATTAAATTTTAAATTTTAAAGGTAGTTTTACAATATGTCTAAAAAAATTTCTAAAAAAATACGAGTGTGATTAAAAACCATGCAGTTTATCCGAAACTTTTTGCAATTCGGGCCTCTGAAGGAATTTTTCTCCCGACGTATCCCATCAGACACTGAGAATATCCTTTCTTTTATATTAAAAACACCTGACGCATTTACTTGTTCTAAATGAAGAAACAAAATATTTTACTTTTGTTGTCGTCTGTGTCCATTTCCCTTCCGCTAATCAGGTCATCCAAGATGAAGTTTAAATCGACGGATTCTTGAAAGTCAGACAGTTGCTTTTTTTTCTTCCGTAAATCTAAAAATTTCATTCTCACCATTACATTTACAATATAAAGACATTTATGTTAGTTGATTCGATACACAGAAAGGGTTAACGATGGATGGTATCAAAAAAGTCTTTTGAAATCTGTTTATGCGTGCATTTTTGTGTTTTTTAAAAATGTGCTCGTGCAGGAAATGATTTGCTTAACATGATGAATGTGCCTTGCAACACAAAAACAATAAAAAAGGCAATGAAAATAATGTTATGAGTTTATAAATGTGAGTATAATTTTGTTTTTTTCTCCTTTGTTATGAGTCTAAATGTTTCGGACCAACCCTAAATAAACAGTTTAATTGGAAAATTAGCAAGAAAGTTGAATAATTCTAACGTAATTTTGAGAGAAAATAGCACCGTATGTATTCTTTATGGAAGACTCAATTCGGTAACATTTTTTGCCGACATGGCGATAATCATGGCGACTATTTTTGTGACAAAGAGATAGTTCTGGAAGTTTCGAGTATCAAAGCTATGGCCCCAATATTTAAGGAGTTTTGTGAAAATCGTCTAGAATATTGTCCGAAATTCCGGGATTCCGTCACTTAACTTATGCAAATAGGAGTGTATTTCGAAAGAGTATTAGTCTGAGACTGCATAATGTTCTGATCAGCAACCCTCTAGTGATTTCACGGAATCGTCGGAGGCTTTGAAGCGTATGTTTTGATGTATTGTGCTCTTAAATGAACTGTAATTAAGTGCTAGAAATAGCTTTTCTTCTGGAAGATTCTGCTAATAAATTTTTAAAATTTTAATGCTTGTGTCATTCATCTTCTACCAAAACGAACCCCTGTGCTTGGTACTATAAGAAAAAAAACTAGAAGTTTAAGATTTAAATCTATTGAAATTAAGATGAACAAAAAGTTTAATGTATAAACGAAATTTATATACTTTAAAGATAACAAGAAATAAATTTGAAAAGTTGTCTTGTTTTTTTTTCTTCAAGTTTTATATTTTATCGTCGGTTTTATTCCGGACACAACTCGAAATGCGTATTTAAGAAAATGGATGCAATTTTTCAATTTTTTTTTTATGAACATTTTTATTTTTTTTAAAGAATAAACAAATTAATTCATATACATTTGTAATGTTACATCGTCTATTTGCATAAATCAAGCAGTACATTTTGAGTCTTTTTTTCCAAGACATTAAAAGTCAACAGTTATTTTTGCAAGGTTCACACGGGTCCTTTATAATAGTGGTAGTACAGTTGGAACTTTTTGAAAAGTATAAACTATTAATTGTGCTTTGTTTACAAATTTTGCGATAATTGGGTACTTGCACTTCAAGAAGAAGATCCCATATACCCACACATGTGACGTATAGCGTCAGCGACAGCTGATCGTTTGTAAGTAAAATGGCGTGTTTAAGTTAAGCTTCTCCACATAATTCAAAATGTTAATTAAATGCTGGTCCGTATCGCTTATTGAATTTGTTGAAATATAATTCCTTCTCGCCTACATCTTTTTCTTAATTTAGATTTATTATTTTTTATGTATTTTATTGTAACCGTGATATATATTTATTTATTTTGTGTACCTGGTAACTTTGATTCATAATTAGTTTGCTTATGCTCTACATGGCTTCGTGCCTGTCTTTGTGTTGAGTTAGAAATATAAAGTGAAAGAATTGAAATCTTTGTGAAAGAATATAGTATATGTGTCACTTAAAGGAATTGATGCTTGACAGGCTCGGCTTACAAGAAATTAAATGGAAAGAACAGTTGCTAACGTAAACTAGGGTTCCTCTATACTGGTTCTATTTTATATTTATTATTTCCCTCTCTCTCTCTCTCTCTCTCTCTCTCTCTCTCTCTCTATATATATATACTACCATCTCGTCTTTTACCGTTAGCCAGCT